ATATGTACTTATGTACTCAGGTACAGATATGTACTTATGTACTTATGTACTCAGGTACAGATATGTGCTTATGTGCTTATGTACTTATGTACTCAGGTACAGATATGTACTTATGTACTTATGTACTCAGGTACATATATGTACTTATAAACTCAGGTACAGATATGTGCTTATGTACTCATTTAATCAGGTACAGCTATGTACTTATGTACTAATGTACTCCTGTACAGACATGTACTTATGTACTCATGTGCTCAGGTACAGATATGTACTTATGTACTTATGTACTCAGGTACAGATATGTACTTATGTTCTAATGTACCCTTGTACAGACATGTACTTATGTACTCATGTGCTCAGGTACAGATATGTACTTATGTACTTATGTACTCAGGTACAGATATAAACTTATGTACTTATGTGCTCAGGTACATATATGTACTGATGTACTCATGTACTCAGGTACAGATATGTACTTATGTACTTATGTACTCAGGTACATATATTTACTGCATTACATTATACTTAGGTACAAAGATGCAATTATGTACTATAAACATTATGTATAAATATGTGCTGTCTGACTTTGTACTCATGAACTGATAAATACTGTAAACATTGTTCTCAGGCAAAAAAAAATTTTAAATTTAGAAGAAGAAAACTCTATTCATTTCACATTTTCTATTTCTCAAGTCCATCATGATTAGAAATAAGTTTATTAAATTATGTACGCATACTTTCATGCAGCCTGCCTTAAGCCTTTATCTTTCTCTCCAGTAGTTTCTTGTATTCCAAATATGGAAAGTATTACTCTGCGCTGGGACCGGAAACAAACTGATCATTTCGGAGACTTACACGATGCATAAAAAGACATCGTATTGATATCATTTCAAGTGACCCTTTATTGATGGAGTCGCATGTCTGATTTACAATGGTACCCACAAAAGCTTTTTCTGAATAATTATATGAATTAGATAATCGTGTTTTTGTTTTTGTTTTTGAAAACTGATTATTTTAATTTGTGGTTTCTCGCGCATTTACTTCTTCAATAATTTTTTCAGACTCGAAAAAAGAAGTTATTTTCCATATTTTTAATCAGAAAAAGGAAAAAGGAGGGTCATACCACCCTGTGTTTTTGAGGGAGGGGGTGCAGGGCCGCCAGGAGCCCAGCAAAATGGTCTCCAAGCCTTTGTATTCGAAGATGAGTATATAAAATGATCTGGCGCTACCCTTAAACGTTAGAATGCATATTATAGAAGTAATAATTAACATTTTTTAAAGAAAATATTTAATCTATAAATATTTATGCAGTGTTCTCTTGAATATCCAAGAAACATTGCAGAACTATATTAAATATTTTTTACAAAAAATGTTAATTATTACTTCTATAATATGTATTCTAATGTTTATTTTGGGTTAGTGCTAGATCATTTTAAATATTTATCTGGGAATACAAAGAATTGGAGACCATTTTGCTGGACTCCTGGCGGCCCTACAGCCCCTCCCTCAAAAAAACAGTGAATCCAGAGGCTTGGAGACCATTTCGCGGGGTTCATGGCGTCCCTGCACCCCCTCCCTTGGTTCAATGTGTTTGTTAGACAATTGATTTGATTTCACAGGAAAATGCGGTAACGAGGTGTTAACTGTTTTTACCGTTCATTTCTTACAATTTATTTCGTCGATTTACAACAGGTGGCGCCAGCGGCGAGAAATTCTCTTGTCTCTGCCAACACTAAATATGGCCTAGAAATTATGCAAAATAGTCTAAACTGTTTGCTAAAATATAGAAATATGCCCCCGTTTAAAATATATAAATAAACCGTAGAGCCAGCCCGACTGACGTGAAATTTACAAAATGTGGTTTTTAATAATTTTAGAATTTTGTTTTTGTTTTAATAACAATTCACAGGGTTAAAGAGTTTTTATTAAAATATTTGGTTAAATTGATTTAAATCACGTGGAGTTTTGGTTTCAGTATGTTGCAACATTCTTTAGGTTATACATTTATACATTATATATAACTTTTATACATAATTTATATTCAGTATGTTGCAACATTCTTTAAAGTTGTTTAAAAACTATTATACATATATCATTTTCGAAAAAGATTTAACCAATTAACAAAAAAAATAAAAATTACATAAACATAACATAAACATGACAAAAACAGAACATAAAAGTAACATAAACATGACATAAAAATAACATAAACATATGCATACACATAATTATAACGAAAACATAGCATAAACAAAACATAAACATAACGATAACATAAGCATAACAAAAAAATAAACATAACAAAAACATAACATAAACAAAACATAAACATAACTTAAACATAACATGACAAAGCATAAACATTGCAAAAACATAAACATAAACATACAAATAAACATAACATTAACATAACATAAACATACCAAAAACATACACATAAACATAATTAAAACATTACATAAACATAACATAAACATGACATAAACATTTCATAAAAATAGCATTAAAAAACATAAAAATAGTTATAAACATAAACATATGACATTAATTAACACTTTTATCTTATCACAATACTTAAAACATAAACATAATACTTAAAACATGTTTAAAACTGACAAGAAACATATTAAAAGAACTTTTATGTTTGCGTCAAGATGAAATTAAAATCATCAGAGAACTGTTTTTAACTCCTCTTCGTCGTAACTCGTGACTTAGAATTGAAAAATCCACCAGATAATTTACAAAACTGTGTAAAGTGTACACTCTCACGTGACAGGACAGTGAAAGAGAAAGGAAGAATGAGACTGATTTTATTTCAAGCGTCTCTTGATTCTTAACTCAATTGTTTGCTAAAGTAAACCATTTATACTTTCTTTGAAACTTAAATAATTTAAATGAAAGGGTTACATATACCTAAATACAACTTTTGCGAATAGACCCATCTAGTGGTGATAATTTGAACTAAATATTTCAGCCTACCTGTGCACCACGATGAGTACTGTAGTGGCTATGGTCGCCAGCTTTCTTGGATCCCAGCACACATTCTGCTTTCTTCAGGTGCCAAGAATTTCATGAATTTATCATTTGAAGCTCATTAATAAGATTTAGGATTACTGCAAAATGATCGAAACATCTATTTCTCGAATATACAGTGGTAGGCAATAGATAGATAGATAGATAGATAGATAAATAGATAGATAGATAGATAGATAGATAGATAGATAGATAGATTGATAGATAGATAGATAGATAGATAGATAGATAGATAGATAGATAGATAGATCTGAAGCAAGAATTTTGTCCCTTTTGTAGAGAAACCAATAATGGAGATAATAAATTTCAAAAACAAAAGCATGGATATCTAATGCTTGGTTAGACAAAGCTTCTATGGGTGTACCTTAGTGAACCGGTTACTTTCCCGCATGCGTTGAACTCGGGCAACCATAGTACATTTGAAGTTCCGAGCCGGGTCAACCTTTCCAGTACTGTTTCGCCTGGACATTGGGTAAATAAAGCAGACACTCAATAGGACTAGCCGGTGCAACAAGGTTGACGCGGTCAGACTTTTGGTTGAATTTACTTTTACTAAAGGGTCAGGGGTGCGTGAGAGTGGATGATATGGTTAGGATGGATACACAGGAGTATAAATGGATAATAAATGTATTAATTTGTGCAATGGATTTAAAGGATGATGGATGAGCAGAATGGATTGAAAAGGAGAAAGATTGTGATGGATATATATATAAAGGATGATATATAGACAAAAAAACTGTCAAATTAATAAATCGTCATCTTAGCGTGGGAACTTTTATGTTTTATCGATAATAGAAAGTTGAAAATATGACTTGGATCATTTACGGACAATACCAATACAAGTAGTGCATATATGACAAAAATGTTTATACTTTGCTTGCCTTGGTGTCTGTATGTTTGTTTGTCTTGGTGTCTTGGTGTTTGTTTGTTTGTCTTACTGTTTGTATCCAACAAATAAACGTCAAACCGCCGAACAAATCGGGGCCAAATTTTGTGTGGGACCTCACATGACTGAACGGATGCTTAAAATTACAAAAAAAATGTGTCCAAAAGTATTTTAATCTTGAATCTTGTTTATAATTCAAAACACCTTTCAAGAAAGGGGCATTGATTTTTTTATATTTTGTATTTTGTACTGTGAGACCCATATACCTGTGAAATAAAAAGGCGATATTTAGGCAACCTTTTGAGTTTTTGATACTGAACAATTGCTATGTTTCATGTTTATTGGATTATCTAACCACCCACAGGCTACCCATGAGTGTCGACAAAAAATGTCAGCCCATTCAGTAAAGCCGTTTGGCCGGCTGTATAGGAAACATATATGAGTATGTTTTTTTTATTATATTTTTTTAACTGAAACCATTGGACCTGAAACTTAAATATTAAGAAACAAAAATTATTTAAAGTAACAAAATAATTTCTTAGCTTCACTATGAACCAAAGTTTGCACTTTCTTACACTGATTAATTTGATTTTATCATCTGCAGCTCAAAAACAAGTGCATTCCAGTTTAAAAATGTAGTACACACACCTCTGACCCTTTTGTAAAAGTAAATTCAACCTAAAGTTTGACTGCGTCAACCTTGTTGCACCGACTAGTCCTATTTTGCTTTATTTACCCATTGTACGGGCGATACAGTACAAACTTGGACCAGAAAGGTTGACCCGGATCGTAAATTCAAATGTACTACGGCTGCCCGTGAGTATGTACAGTAGTTGGTAAGGTAAACTTAAGGCCAAGGCGTTGCAATAGTTCAAAGTCAAACCAGTCTTTAAATTTCATGCATAACTTTCACAGCTGACTGAACCTTTGTGCGTTGCGGCTAGGAGCCTTGTTTAATAATTGGGAATGTTTAGGAAAGTTTTGGTATTGGTAAAATGTATGCTTAAAAGATACGTAATGTCTAGTCCATTTAAAAAGTTCATGCAAATCTGCCCCTTTAGTAAAAGTAAATTCAGCCTATATGAAGCATAAAGTCTGACCGCTTCAACCTTGCTGCACCGATTAGTCCTGTCCATAGAGCTAGGTACAGTAAAAACTGGGACCGGAAAGGTTGACCCAGCTCGAAAATTCAAATGTACTACGGCTGCCCGTGGTGTGACCGATTTTAAGCGAGAAACACAAGGGTGGCTCTCTCATTCACTTAGATTCAATCTGCCTGTAAAAATTCTCATCCATTTTTAAGACAGGGCAGACTTTGAAGTGCCGCAACACCTTGGGCTTTGATTTCAGAGCTCTAACTCACTTATGCTTTTCTGTAGCCCTTTACATGTACATTTTAACACTACATGGAGTTATATATGGTTTTTAAGAAGAAATTGGCAAATTTCTCATAGATTTTTAATTGAGAGATTAAAACCTTAAATCACCGGTTTAAAGGCTAAACTGTTGCGAATCAAACACTATAATAAGTAGATGGTCTCTTGATTTACGCCTACTCACAAGCAGCCGTAGTACATTTGAATTTCCGAGCCGGATCTTGTGTTTAGAATTATATCAAATTAGAATAATCTATAATTTAATCTTGTGTTTAGAATTATATAAAATTAGAATAATCTATAATTTATTCTTGTGTTTAAAATTAAATCAAATTAGAATAATCTATAATTTAATAGTGTGTTTAGAATTAAATCAAATTAAAATAATCTATAATTTAATCTTGTGTTTAAAATTAAATCAAATTAAAATAATCTATAATTTAATCTTGTGTTTAGAATTAAATCAAATTAAAATAATCTATAATGTAATCTTGTGTTTAGAATTAAATCAAAATTAAAATAATCTAATGATAATCTTGTAATTATCAGGAGGTAGAGGAAGAAGGGTTGAACCTGAAAACTCCAGGACCTAAACCTCATCCTAGCTGGGTGTACAGATACAACATAGAGGATAAAACACAGGTTTATCTTGATGATAATGATGATAATGATGATAATTATGATAATGATGATAATGATGATTATATTCAGGTGAAAAGATCTTCTTCTCTGCTGCAGCAGACTAGATCTAGTTCTGTTCTTGGTTTAAGTTCAGCTCTAGGTTCAGGTTCAGCTTTGTTAGCTCCTGGAGTAGGACGTGGAGGGGTTGGAGGAGGAGTAGGAGGAGTGCATGGGTTTCAGCGAATGGATTTGCTCAATCCTCTGCCGAAGGTAGTAAATGTGTTCATTATCTGATATCATAACTCATATAAACATTTTATTTTAACTTAACTGGAATTTAGACTAACAACAATCACGGTGTGACAAAATTGATTTTAATAAGATTTCAGTAAGGTTTAACAAAATCGTACCTGCTACTCTTAAAATAAAGAGTCAGGTTGTATTATGTTTACAGTCCCTTTACAGACCCTTGAGAGTGAACACCCCTTGAAGTTTATATATTTGCTACATTACCCAGACCTGTAGCTCCGCCCTTGATAATGAATCCGGAAATACAGATGATAGATGATCCATCATCCACTAGAGATGGATCTCTAACAGTTAGCATATTTAAAGGGACTTTAGTCTTAATTTAAAGTGTCTCTCCATTTATAGAGTGGCATGTCTGATTCACAACGGTACCTTTAAAAAGCAGTGTTTGGCCATAAATGAATATGATGTCTATCTCTTAACAAATTAATTATTTTCTTTGTTCTTTGCACTTTTACAATCACTTATCACAGAGTAAACCTACATGGCCCTCTTAAAATGGAGATCCACCTATTGGAAAATGTTTATAATCTACATCTTGTGAACTATGAACATGACTAAGCTTATCTTATTGGTTTAGGATGTCCCCTATGATATTTATTTTTCGGAAACGGCGGTAAAATGGTGTCCTTATCTTGTGGTTGTATGGTTTCACATTTAAAATTTAGCTACACTTGTTCTTAAAATTTAGCTACTCTTGTTCTTAATATTTAGCTACTCTTGTCCTTAACCCTATCCCCGCTGGGGTAACTCGGGCAACCATAGTACATTTGAAGTTCCGAGCCGGGTCAACCTTTCCAGTACTGTTTCGCCTGGACATTGGGTAAATAAAGCAGACACTCAAAATGTTTATAATCTACATCTTGTGAACTATGAACATGACTAAGCTTATCTTATTGGTTTAGGATGTCCCCTATGATATTTATTTTTCGGAAACGGTGGTAAAACGGTGTCCTTATCTTGTGGTTGTATGGTTTCACATTTAAAATTTGGCTACACTTGTTCTTAAAATTTAGCTACTCTTGTTCTTAAAATTTAGCTACTCTTGTTCTTAAAACTACTTTTTTCTCCTCTAAGTGACATTTCTTAAAATCTCAGCAAAAGTAAAAGAACAATCCCTTTAGAACACCAAGCTGTCATCCTTGATTCTCGTTGATTGTACTGAGTACACTGACCACCAGTACTTCATCTTTCATCACCCTGGCCCCCCTTGAATATATCTGCACCCGTGCCAAATAAAAACCATGTTCAATTTGCTGTGCAAATATTACTGTCCTACAAACTGTCTTATACTCCGTCATACATTTAACATTCATTCATATCTAAAACTCTTGCATTAATGTGATTTTGATATTTTGATATTTCAGATAATGCTGCCAGATAATATGAAGGACCCATATATTTTAAGAAAATTATAAATCATTGATATTCACACTCTTTACCATTTTTTCCATGTAATTTTAAATTTAAGCACTGAAATAAGTTTATTTTTAAAAGCTTATTAATTTATCTATAGGCGCCACGTGACCTTTCTCCTCCTGGCCTCCATCTTGGTTCTATCCCAGATCAGCCAGAATTGAAGACGATCAAACATGCGGTTATCCGTAGACATAACTCTATGTATGCGGCATCCTCGCGTACACCAGGACCAAATCCGTTCCAACCTCCATATACTTTCAAGGTAGTCATCTTGTGCCTAAAATCACTCTGTCTGTTCATTTACAGGTTGTTTTGTTAAAAAAATGTTAAGAATTTAAAATTGAACATTTTTTCAGGACGTGACCGGCGCAAGTGAGATCCGTCCCATTGTAACACTTCAGCGTAGTAAGACTGTTACTCCTGGTGCTATTCTATACAGATCGTCATCAATCCAAGCTGTGGCCAGGTATTTTTAAAACAAATTTATCGAAATGTCCAACATCTACTTTACTTGGTTTTTAGGTCTTACTCTACGGCTCCTCAGTTTCGACAATATGTTGCACGATACAGACAAGCAGACATTCCGTTACATGGAACTACAGGTTTGTACTAATGCTAATCCACAAAGAGCAAACCCAACTAAACCTGGGTAAGGCTTTAATAAGCCCTAAAAATGCATATTGTATAATCTTCTGCTAATTAACACAAATTTCAAATGTCTAAGTGTCAAAAGTTGAGACCTACAGTTATTATTGGTGTTATTTAAGTATTTACTTCAGGGCGGTATCGTAAACACAGTAAGGCACGCTTGTATCCAGACCAGGATTCTGGAAACCAATTTTGTGAGTTTCAGGTGAGGAAAAGTTCACAAATTTTGGTGTTACATATGTTTATAAATACTGTCCTAAATCTCTTGTAATGTTTCTAGCTGGAGTTAATACTTTTAATGCTAATGTCCTATAAATCATTAATTTGACTTAATGCCATCTGTCCCAGCTAAATATCATTAATGTATCTTAACCCTACTGTCCTATATATCATTAATCTCTCTTAATGCCAATGTCCTATATTGTTAATCTCACTTAACGCTACTGTCCTATATTGTTAATCTCTCTTAACGCTACTGTCCTATATTGTTAATCTCACTTAACGCTACTGTCCTATATTGTTAATCTCACTTAATACTACTGTCCTATATATGGTTAATATCATATAATACTACTGTCCTATATTGTTAATCTCTCTTAACGCTGCTGTCCTATATTGTTAATCTCACTTAACGCTACTGTTCTACATATCGTTAATCTCACATTCGTATTCAACACATTTTCCCACAGTAGAGCAGGTGAGCGCCAGAACAACTGTAAAACTAGGTTTAAATACCGGCATTAGCGCGCCAATCAATCAATCAACCGGAAACCAAAAAACCATCAAAATAACCCAACACGTGAACATCTGTCTTAATTCATCCCCGATTCATATATATCTATCTATACCATATCTATATTATATTCTAATACCTATCTATCTATCTATATCATATATGTATTATATTCTTATATCTATCTATCTATACCATATCATATCTTTATCATATTCTTATTTCTATCTATCTATCTATCTATATCATATCTATATTAAATTCTTATATCTATCCATCTATCTATCTATACCATATCTATATTATATTCGTATATCTATCTATCTATATCATATCTATATTATATTTGTATATCTATCTATCTATATCATATCTATATTATATTCTTATATCTATCTATTGATCTATATAATATCTATATTATAATCTTATATCTATCTATCTATCTATATCATATCTATATTATATTCTAATATATATCTATCGATCTATATCATATCTATATTATATTTTTATATCTATCTATCGATCTATATCATATCTATATTATATTCTTATATCTATCTATCGATCTATATCATATCTATATTATAATCTTATATCTATCTTTATTTGATGCCCCTGACTGATTGTATGTTTTGTGCGCATCAAATACAATTTTCCCGTAGGAATATTTCTATTGTGTCTGTTCACTACAATTCCTCCATTGTTACGTTTCCCAATTTGGTTGGATTGGTGCAAACCCGGTTCTTATATTCATCTTTAATCGTCAGACATTCTTTCTTTCAAGGATCAAATAATCTTCCTGGTTTTTCAAGGTACTGTTGACGTAATTTCAAGTGACCCTCCATTTTTATGACAGCATTTACGATTAACATAGTTACCCTCTTAACCTGTGTCTAATCTAGAAGGACAAAGATATCCTTATTTTTCCCGCTTAAATTTTTGCGTTTGTGGCAAACTTGTGACATTGAAATCTTGAAACATTGAATACGATTTTAGGTGGAACCAACCATATTTGAGCCACGGTTTAAATTTATGCCGCGGCTCAAATGCTTTAAATTCGGCTTTAGTCCCTTTAAGATCAAGTCGAACCGTACAGGGGTAAGTGTTTATACTCCGTATAAGTAAGATGATTAATCAAGGATAGAAACAAATATATTAACCGTACACAAGTCCCGCCATGTTGCAGCTCTAACGCCTGGGAATTTCCCACATTTTTCCGCCGCAAATTTTGCGGATTTTCCGGAACTGCGCTGACGTGACAGGAAGCTGGGAGGACGAGCACAAGTATTCGAGTGTCATGTTTCAGGAATTTACATCAATCAAATATTTAAATATTGAGAGTGTCCGGGGTCATGCCGCCATTTTGTTCTCAATTTCGGCAGTGGAACTACAGGTTNTTTTTGAGAAAACGAAACGATCGTTTTTAAAAATGATCGTTTAACGAAGCAAAAAACGATCGTTAAACGATCGTTTTCAAAAACGATTACCAACCCTATCTGTAATGCAGTTTAGACTTATAGACATTTTTATTTCTTTTTTGATTATTAAAATGCATATTCAATTAAGAGTATATAAGAGTTTAGACACTTAATTTTTTTTATTAAAGGGGTTAAATTTCGTATTAGATCGTAGTAGATCCAGTCTTTGTCTTTCAAACACTCTGGCACAATATAGTGTATGCTAAAGGGACTGTAAGCGAAATTTCAAGTGACCCTCCATGCAAAGATGACAATGTCAGATTTACAATGGTACCCTCAAAAGCTTGATCTGTTTATTTTAACTGTTAGCTTTAATTTGTGGGTTCTCTGTGGAATAGCTTTAATTTGTGAGTTCTCTGAAGAATTGACTGGCACATTTCTTGACCATGAGAAGCAATGGAGAAAATTGATAAATTAAAGTTTTCAAGATTATTGTTGTTAATCGGGCATTGACATCTTGCTTGGATAGTCCCTTCAAATCCCGCCCACAGTTCCTTTAAATTAATACAAGATGAAGAGGTTTTGTGCTGGAAGGACCCGGCGGCGGCCATTTTGTATAATTGAGTTGATTGATTGATTTGTTGAATGTAAAGGGAGAGGACGGGAAGACGACAGTCCGTAGTTCTCGACTAATTCTAGACTCCGAGGGTTCAAGTAATGAAAATATCAAATATCAGGTTGGTGCACACCTTTCCTTAAAATACATGCAAATTTTTTTTTAACCATAACTCATCTATTTATTGAAGAACAAACATGGTTTAGATTTTTGATAAATGACCAGATAAATTTGCTTTGTGCGTACAATTTAAACTATAGGAGCTGCGAGGTCACAAAATAGTACCTGTAGCTTTTTTTTGTTGCTATTTTTAGTATTTTTTGAAATTTTTTGAAATTTATTTTATCCATCTAGAATGGAATCTATAAAACTATCGACTATGAATCTTATTAGTTTTCCTAGTAGCTGTTACTGTGTATATGTTCAATGGACTAACTAAAATCAAAACATTTCCTAGTCCACATATTTATGGGTATCACCGTATGTTAACTGTACTTCACATCACATCACCTAACTATCACTATGGCTTTTTCTATATTTTAAAGAAATCCTCACTAAGCCTTATTCTTATGTTTTCTGAATTATTCTGAATTAAGTATAGACTGTAGAGTTCTCTCTGTGTTGGCAACATTCTAAATTTTTAATTACGATACCTCGCTTTGTTTCGTTAAGGTCTCCTCTACGATACTACGCTTTGTTTCGTTGAGGTCTCCTAACAGTTCTAAAACCAAACAATATCCGTATTTAAAAATTCATATCCGCGTTCATTCATCTCTCTTGAGGAGACCCGTACCTAGTTGAGATTCGTACAAAAGTTGAGATTCTTACCAAAGTTGAGACTCGTACCAAAGTTGAGATTCGTACCAAAGTTGAGACTCATACCAAAGTTGAGACTAATACCAAAGTTGAGATTCGTACAAAAGTTGAGATTCGTACCAAAATTAAGACTCGTACCAAAGTTGAGACTTGTACCAAAGTTGAGACTCGTACCAAAGTTGAGATTCGTACCAAAGTTGAGATTCTTACCAAAGTTGAGACTCGTACCAAAGTTGAGATTCGTACAAAACTGAGATTCTTACCAAAGTTGAGACTCGTACCAAAGTTGAGATTCGTACCAAAGTTGAGACTCGTACCAAAGTTGAGATTCAAACCAAAGTTGAGATTCGTACCAAAGTTGAGATTCAAACCAAAGTTGAGATTTGTACCAAAGTTGAGATTCAAAATAAAGTTGAGATTCAACCCAAAGTTGAGATTTGTACCAAAGTTGAGATTTGTACCAAAGTTGAGATTTGTACCAAAGTTGAGATAGTTATGTAGTTATCAATCTATCTTTTTATCAATTCATCTATCAATTCATCTTACTATATATTCAGCCCTGTATATCTGATTTAGATGTTCTAATTTAATATTCAGTAAGCCAGCGATTTAGAACCCAATTTTAACTATTGAATGGGGAGACTCTGCAGGTTTTTTATCTATTTTGTATTACTATTTANTATCATATCTATCTATCTATCTATCTATCTATATCGATCTATCTATATCGATCTATCTTTCTATTTATCTATTTATCTATTTATCATCTATATATCTTATAATATATCTATCTATCTATCTATCTATCTATCTATCTATCTATCTAGGGAATGGATATAGTTACAAGTTCTAAGGAAAGAAGGAATCCATCAAGAACTAATTCATTATCTAGAGACAGGTACAGTTTACATATTATTATCATTTAAAGAGACTATAAAGGAATAATTCACATATTTGAAAACGAATACAAATTTTAAAAATGTTTTTATATTTATTTACGACACTGAGAGACACAGTTGTGTTAATCATTTAAAAAAGAGTCATATTAGTTTAATAAAATACACAATAAAATCTTTAAATGTAGATGTAGATACTAGATATATACTTCAACTTGTGTTTGACTATGGTTAATATGTAGTGTTTTCCAATATTTNAGTATTTTCCAATATTTAGTATTTTCCAATATTTAGTATTTTCCAATATTAAGTATTTCAAAAGCACATCAGATTAATCCGAAATATAACACATCCTATAGATGAAGAAAATAACAAAATAGACTATATTTGAAAACAATGTTTTTATTTTGTGTTGATTAGACAGTACTATGGGAGCTGGGAGAATCTTCTTGAAAACTCTCTTTCGAAATCAAATCTTTTTAACAGGTGAACATTTTTTAAAATATAAAACTTACCGGAAAATATTTCGAAATTAGGATGATTTTGGTTGAAATTAAGATAATTTTGTTCGAAATTAAGATAATTTTGTTCGAAATTAAGATAATTTTGTTCGAAATTAAGATAATTTTGTTCAAAATTACGATAATTTGTGTGAAATTACCATAATATTGTTTGAAATTTCGATAATTTTGTTTAAAATTACGATAATTTTTTCTTTGAAATTGCGATCATTTTGTTTGAAATTACGATAATTTTGTTTGAAATGACAATAATTTTGTTTGAAATTACAGTAAGTTCGTTAGAAATTACGATTATTTTGTTTGAAATTATGATAATTTTGTTAGAAATTACGATAATTTTGTTTAAAATTATGATAATTTTGTTAGAAATAACAATAATTTTGTTTGAAATTACAGTAAGTTCGTTAGAAATTACGATTATTTTGTTTGAAATTACGATAATTTTGTTAGAAATTACGATAATTTTGTTTGAAATTATGATAATTTTGTTATAAATTATGATAATTTTGTTCGAAATAACAATAATTTTGTTAGAAATTTCGATCATGTTGTTTGAAATTTCGATAATTTTGTTTAAAATTACGATAATTTTTTCTTTGAAATTACGATAATTTTGTTTGAAATTATGATAATTTTGTTTGAAGTTATGATAATTTTGTTCGAAATAACAATAATTTTGTTAGAAATTTCGATCATGTTGTTCAAAATTTTGTTCAAAATTTCGATCATTTTGTGCAAAATTTTGATCATTTTATTTAAAATTTCGATCAGTTTGTTCAAAATTTCGATCAGTTGTTCAAAGTTTTGTTCAAAATTTCCATCAGTTTGTTCAAAATTTCGATCATTTTGTGCAAAATTTTGATCATTTTATTTAAAATATCGATCATTTTGTTCAAAATTTCGATCATTTTGTTGAGCTATCCCAAACTTTTAAAATTTCAAATTTCAGATAAAATTATCAAATGAAAATAATTTTTAAAATTATGAATGTTCCCTGAATTTTTGGAGGTTTTTAAATATTATCTTCTGAAACACTTAACTTTGGACGTTTTTGTTATCTATATAATAAAGCTCTTCTTTCATATTTATGTTAGCTATTGCTGGCCAAACGGCTGAACCGAATAGACTGACTTTTTTTTAGAGAATCCGGGGGTAACCTGGGCTAAAAATGTCGTAATATTTTTACTTTAAGAATCAAATTTTATTTTTCAAAATTCGTTTTTTTAAAATTCTATGGGCAACGCCGGGCACTCCAGCTAGTATTTCATAAATAAATAGTTACTAAAACTTATTTACTAATTAAGTTATTATATTTATTGTTCAGTCGTAACTATGGGTCAACTGGCTCCTTGAACAGTTCATCCGAATCAGATTTAGGACCTGCACAATTCTATCAGGTTAGCTGTTATGTACACTGTACATTGCAGAGTATTAGATGTCAGATTATGTACATTGCAGAGTATTAGCTGCCAGATTATGTACAGTACAGAGTGTTATTTGTTAGCTCATGTACATTACAGAGTATTAGTTGTAAGATTATGTACTGTAGATAGTGTTGGTTGTCAGATTATGTACAGTACAGAGTGTTAGCTGCCAGGATATTTACAGTACAGAGTGCTAATGTTAGGTCATGTACAGTACAGAGTGTTAGCTGCCAGGATATTTACGGTACAGAGTGCTAATGTTAGGTAATGTACAGTGCAGAGTTTAGCTGCCAGGATATTTACAGTACAGAGTGCTAATGTTAGGTCATGTACAGTACAGAGTGTTAGCTGCCAGGATATGTACAGTACAGAGTGCTAATGTTAGGTCATGTCAGTACAGAGTGTTAGCTGCTAGGATATATACAGTACAGAGTGCTAATGTTAGGTCATGTACAGTACAGAGTGTTAGCTGCCAGGATATATACAATACAGAGTGCTAATGTTAGGTCAGGTACAGTACAGAGTGTTAGCTGCCAGGATATTTACAGTACAGAGTGCTAATGTTAGGTCATGTACATTACAGAGTGTTAGCTGCCAGGATATATACAGTACAGAGTTCTAATGTTAAGTCAGTTACAGTTCAGAGTGTTAGCTATTAGATTGTGTACAGCACAAAGATGCAGCCTAAAGTCAGTCCGTCTCAACCTAGTTTGACCAGCTAGCCCTGCATACAGAGCTAGGCCAACTATATTGACCCCTGCCGTATGTATGCCAGTGTAGTCGGTGCACCGGTACAAACTAGGACCACAGCCAAGATTTTTAATGTACATAAGTTGAGTGTGATATGTCAGATCATGTACATTAAAGATTGTTAATCGACACAGCTGGGAACCATGTAGTTGGATAATTTTCAAAATACTGATTGCTTGATCTTGATATCCAATGTGGGCTCTTTTGATTTGAGGATCTAAAAAAACTAAACCTTCCAATATCTTCATTTTAGTTTTTTCTCCCTTGATAAAAGCTCCTTTCAACCACTCACTGGGCATGATTAGCAAGCGGGATATTGAATAATGAATTAATCTGCAGATTAACAAAAGATCGAGTTCCTACCTGAGAGTTTCTTAATCTGGATAAACCCTTGAAAGATTTGTATTCAAACCAAAATTTGTTTCAGGGAGCTGGTCATCATCTTCAGCTACATGCAGTACATAACCAGTCTTACCAGACAAACACAACATTAGGTAAAGAATGCAGTACAGTACATGCAGTACAATACA